CTGCATGAATGAATAAAATGTTGCGAATATTTGAGTAAATTAATAAACGTAATTAAATGAAATGAACAATAAACGAAAGAGTGTTAGTGCATTGTGCTAAAATTTCAGCTCTAAACGGTCTAATTTGAAAAAAAATACATTTCTTTTCTATTCATGAAGCAGCAACGCTAATTTTAATTGTTTTATCTTAAGAATTATCAAAAATATAAGAAAGCCGTTCTTCCTTAGAGAAATGAAATTGCTGACTAAATTTGGAAAAAGTCTATGTTTATGGTTTTTTCCAAATTCAATTTGGGTATACTAGCGTTACCTGGGTAAACAAGCAGATAAGTTAACACTTTAAAATCACTTTTAACTCATGTTATTCTATGTTCATTTTGAGACACGGAATTCCATGTAACTCTCCACAGCTTATTTCCTAAGTATACATCCAAACGTCAAAGCACTTGAGATGTGAAGCCATTGCAATCGCGCCAGATGCTCTGCCTTTACTACTGCTGGGCAACAAATGGTGCATTGATCCTTCACAAGTACAACGATAGCAAGAAGAAGAGTCTTTTTTACCTCAGTATGAGTATCCAATCAGAGTCGGACTTCCTCGAAACTTGAAATCGTGGATCGGAGGTAAATGAGTGCTGACCAGCGGTTAGAAGAGCTTGATCGGAAGAGCGAGTCCAGGCTACCTGAATAATTATTAAAAGTTTACCTAGGTTTATTTATTTCACTATTGTGGAAAATATTTTGTGGATGCGAAAAACATCCATTGTCGTCTCTATGTAGCTGTTTTCTTAAACAAAAGTCAAGTCCCAAACTAGCAACGGCGACTTAAAGTGCACAACTTTGACATGCTCGGTTTTGCATGGGAGTTCATCTTTGCGCTTCGATGCATTCCTCATTACCCGAATTGTTTCCAGCAGGAGAATGTGTGTTTGGCTGAATGCACACCGATGTCAAGCACCGCGCTAAATCGGCGTCACTCGTGTCAACGACATAATTAGTCCAATTAAGCGTTACATAAACAAGCAGGGTAGGTGTACCACATTAGAGCCAAGGTGATCTAAGTTAGCTAAACTAAGGTAAAGGGTGAAATATGAAATCTAAGAGAGCCTTTTCGCCTGGTAAAGTAAAGGATAAAAAGGTTCAAAGTCATATTAATTTCATAACAATCTATGAAAATAAAACATCAGTATATTCCAGTATTTACGCGAGTACCTCTCAGTAATTTTAATTTCATATAAAAATTTCTAATACTCTAAAAGCAAATAGTACTGACAGCGTGATTAGATTTTGAAAATAACCAATAAACGGGTTCTAAAAGATAGGTCAATTGGTTTGAACTCTGAGACAAAAATTTTCCTCTATTTCTTTTACTTCCTGACCTATTGACAACAAGTCTAAAAGCCATAAAAGTTCTTTGAAAATCTCCTTGTGCGATTGCTATTCTATTGATGATGTCCCTCAAAAATGACTTTGCACAAGAAAGCCCACAGCTTATATTTAATTTCCTCCGTAAGAGCGAATTTTGAGTAAACTGAGTGTAATCCAATAAAGGTTCAAGATTCTGTGTAAGACTACATAATGTACGTACTTGAATTTTTCACCGTTTAACACTGCCTTTTGAAGGTATTGCTCAAAACTATAAAAGTATTTGTGACAGAATGTCAATGGAGAAACCCAAACATAAAATCGAGAATAGAGATAGGTTTTTGTCAAGCAAATTATGGAATTTCTTCCTTCTATCTACTGAAGTAGCTAATTTAGTACCGGAAATTATTTGTAGTATCTCTCCTCGCATTTGTTTTAGAATTTGAAAGAATCCAGTTTTCGGCAAGAAGTAGCATACAAAAGAGTACTTTTATTGCAACTAGATAGACTTACCATATGATTCGTCCCTTCTGGTATTCGACAATGCAAATAAGCTGGCTC